CTTTTTAAAGTGTTCCTTGTAATCATGTGAAATTTCTGACATTAAATTATGCAGAAGCATGAAAAGGAAACTTACCAGAGGTGTTGCCCCAGGTTGAACTCCTAGGACTCTAGCGGAGTCCTCATGGTGCCTGGCATCCCCGGCCTCAGTGAAACGCGGGTAAGTGTCGGATCTGCAGTTCTCTGAGGACGATGTGTTCATTGGGGTACCTGGGCGGCTGCGTGGCTGTGAGCAGTGCAGGCCACAGGGCATGGGGATCTGCTCTCAGTGCCATGTGCACATTCTCGTGTGTGGGGGTGCAGCCAGGGGCAGAGCATGTGCCTAGCAGGAGCAAAGCAATTCCATCCCCAGCTCGGGCACAGGTACTATGCAGCGCAGGGCAGCAGCGTGTGTGGTGCCTTCCTTCCGGACAGTAGTGTATTTGACAGAAGTTGAAAAATAAACATAACATAGTGCTGACAGTTTGGTTCTAAATTCAGCAAAGGTACAATTAAAAACCTGTTTCACAGGACATAAGGTTTGGATATCTACCTTTGCAGCAAAGTATTTATGAGAAAATACACTGCCAATTTCACTTTCTTTGAGGAGCATTAAAGTAAGGTGGACTGAGGCATAGATAGATGTGTGATCCTTAAAGGCACAGTAAAAGCAGGTCGGACTGGTGGGTGGGTCTGGCTCCAGTTACTCAGGAGGCAGAGGCAGGAGGATTGCTTGAGACTAGGAATTCAACACACGCCAGGCAACAAAGCAAGCCTCCGCTCAAACCAAGTACAGGGAGGTGATAATGGCACACTCTAGCTAGTGGATATTCACTTATTTCAAGTTTGCTTAAAATCTGAAATTGTTTGTAATAACATGCAAGGGGAAGAAAGCTATGTGTAAATATAAGTAATGAGAAGTCTTGGGGGCCATAGTTTTGAGGCCGACCTTGGTAAGACCTGGCCTCAAAACTTAAAAACTGTAGCATACAGAGATTCGGGGGCAGTGCAATGGTAGAGCATTTGCCTGGCACCAGCTAAAGAAGAGAGGTTACACAGTAGCATGGCCACTAAATTGGCAGTGAAGCACCCAGTAGCACAGGTGCCCTTCTCTATTGGCACAGAAAACCTTTGAGAGTGTAAGAGGATTGGATACAGTTACACTGAGGTATTTGCTGCAGTTTTTGGAAACATTTCCAAGGAGATGGGGAGTTCAGAGGGAAAGGCCCTGAGTACAACCACTGACAAAGGGCGCATGTGACACTGTGCTGTATTACTTAGCTCACCTGGAAGCTTACGTCACATAAAATGAAGAGGCTTCCCTGCTCAGGAGCTGCTGCGGGCAGTTACTTCCGACTCTGAGAGCGTGCATCTGCAGTTCAAATTGACAAATGGGGAAACTGAGGCCCTGAGGACAGAGCTGGCCTGCCCAGGCTGCTACACAGTGAGGCAGAGCTACAGACCTTTGGGGCAGATATTAGGAGAGCCTGAGCAGAATCGGAACACTTAGAGGTGCTTTGTAGAAAAACCAGCACTGCCAATGTTGCTCGGTCCCTGCAGCCTGGGAAGGCGTCCGAAGCGCCCCTGCCGGGCTGGTGCTGGACAGGTTTGGACTCCATCCTCAGCGTCACTGCACAAAAGGTCTTTAGTATAGATGAGGAGCCCGTGTGGGGCCACAGGGAAGGAACGGCCGGCAAGGAGTCTGGGACCATGAAGACACGGGGCTCTGGGCCTGCTGTGGTAACTCACCCCACCCAGCAGTGCCCCAGCCGGCTGCTGCCTGGGATTTCCTGTCAACTCCCTTGCATCTCTATTTTCAAACCGGGCATCATGGTACCTTCATATGATAGACAGCAGCCTTGAGATGGCCCAAAGCACTGAATTACAGCTGTGTCCCTAGGTGAAGGGCCATGGATTTGGGGCTGGGGGCATGGCTCAGTGGTGAGCACTTAACTAGCACATGTGAGGTCCTGGGTTCAGTGTCCAGCACCTCAAAACAGAGGTGGTACAGAGAAAAACCCTGCCTATGTGTAATGCGTCAACATATGAATGCACATGTGTGTCAAGTAGAGTACACAATGCATGGATATACCATGCTCCTCAAAACCCTGGCCAGGTATGTGCACATGCAGGCCCATTTCCTCTGGCCCATTCGTGCCTCCCAGTCAGCAGGAATGGCTGAGTACCTGTCGTCTGCAGTGGCTGCTGAAAGGTGCCAGATCCCAGGGCCAGAATGTGGCTGGGGAGCCATGGCTGAGAAGATGCACTGGCACCGTGCAGGTCATGCTAGAAAGCGGCTTGGAGATATCAGGGGCTTGTCCAGTGGGGAGGGGACCATGGAGACCCCAGGGGCTTGTCTGGCAGGGAAGGGGACCATTTATCAAGTGTGGGCTCACAGTCTCCGCATGCCGCCCCTAAGCTGCACCCACAGCCAAATCCTATAATATTTTAACTCAGGAAAAATTACATTGTGCATCTTCTATTTATATTTTTCAATGTCTTTAGATTTAGAAAATGGTGAAATCAAACCACCTGTGCTGCTTTCAGCATCTCAAGTTAACCACTTAAATTGGTTCAGAAAAGAAATAAGCCAGATAAGCCAAATTGTAGTGTGTCTTTCTTCACCGTTTTGTGATTAAAATAATTAACTGGTTGGACTCATAGCTTCCTAGAAATGTCTGCAGAGTAATCAAATATTCTTTACGCTCATTAAGAAAGGATTCTCTGCCTGCTCTGGTACTGTAAGGTGGCTGTGTACAGGAAGCCCTTCCTGGACCTCATCGAGGTCCTGTGGCATTTATATTATTTCCATGTGGTAATCACATGGAAAGTTATTGGAATTCCAGTAAGTTAATTCCCGCCCACCACTTCCAGTGCCACCCAGGAGAGAATAAAGACACTAAGGCATAGCTACAGTTATGGCAGCCAGTTATGGGGGTCCTAAGTCCAATTAGAACAATAACTGGAACAAAGACCCCAACCCAGGGCAGAATCTGGGTTTCATTCATTCATGAAGAGGGGAGTGGCTGTAAGAGTGACTGTAAGAAAGGCAGGCAATGAGAGAGTGCTGTGAGCGGGCTGGGTAGGAGGTGGATAGTTTTCTGCAGTATGTAGAAACAGACATGTGCAGAAAGAGTAAACTGCGTATCTCTGATTGGGGAAGTAGCCAATGCTTTGGGGCCAGTGCTGCAGTTCTGATGTGTGTCACTGTATCCTGAGATGTCACAGCTTCTTCTCTAAGTTCAATCCCAGCGGACAGTGTGGTGTCACTTGGCTTGGCCCACACATATTACTTGGGAGCTATAGGCAGGTGTCGCTGACCTGTCCACTGCTTTAAGGACTGCACATCAGCACCTCTGCTAGATGCATCTGTTGGCTTAAAGCCAACCGAAGGGATAAAAAATCTCAGCCAGCTCTGAACTTACCAATCCCTGTAAGCAGGGCCAGGTTTAGCCAAAATGGAGCCAACTGCCCTTCTTTCAAGGAAAGGGCCTCCTGGAAAGGCCCTCCACAGTGACGCTATCGAGAAGAGATTCCTGAACTACACTTTCCCACACCTGCATCATGTCCAGAAGCTTCTCAGGCATGATCAGAGTTGTGGGTCAAAGTCTATTAGCAAAGGAGCTAAGAATCCCCACATAACCTCCCTTTGCTAGACACAAAGATCGCCAGCTGGTCTACAGGGGCCCCCGGGTTGCAGCCTCTGCAGATACTAGGGAATGGATGGGATACAGTGTGGGGCTCTGAGCAGTAGGCCAGGTGGCACTGCCCTTGGGCAGCAGAACAGAGAGGACCCCAGGGGAAGAGAGAAGACGGTCATCCAGGCTGCAGGGATGCCATTCACTGTGAAGCGGCTCTGCCATGCTCTGACTGGTGGAGAGCCAGGCGTGAAGTGCAATGCCCAGGCCTCAGTCTGCTCCAAGGAGGCAGAGCTGCAGGGAGTAGACGCAGCGGAGAGCTCAGCTGGGTGGTAGTGCTGGGGACAACATCATCAAAACTGAGCCCTAAGGAGTGTGCCACGGAGCCCCGTTCTCATCAGAGACTGGCACTGACACCAGAGCCAGAGTTGTGGAGCGACCGAAATGACGCCCTTGGGATCCCCCAGCCCTGGTCACTGGGTGGCCCACCTTCCTGTGCCTTGTGACTGCTGGCAGGAATCTGCTGCTTCTGGAGGCTGCGTTTCCTTAAAGGCCTCAGTTCCCCTGACAGTGAGCACCATTTGGGGTCCAGCAGCTCCATTCTCTGCCCGAGTAACACAAAATGGCAGATTAGGCTGTCACACCTACTGCAAGTGAAGTTCCCTGCATATTTGTAAAATATCAAGAAGATAGAATCGTGTAAGCAGAAGACGCCCAGCTGAGGGATGGCATTGGTTACTGGCAACTCGCCCATGAGCTGACCTCAGCCTCAGGTCCAGTAGGGCAGCTGGGGTGTTGAGTGTGTCTTCACCCACAGAGGAACAGGCATCGCAGAGCCCCGTGCAGTCAGGGTAAACTGAGGCCATGGCCAGTGACCGCATGGGGGTTTTGTTTTAAAAGTCCCCTGAGAAAGTGGCAATTTCCCAGGTAAAGAAAAGAAGCTTTAGGCAGAAAAGTGAGCTGGTGCTTAGTGTTAGTCTACTTCTGCTGGTTTCTGGCGCCACAGCCAGTCACACTTGTAAAAATCCCCAGAAGCTGGAAACTCTGGGAGGCTGAGGCAAGGGTATCAAGTTCAAACCCAGCTGGGCAACTCAACAACACAGACATCTTTTCGATGCTTTATAAATACCCAAGGAACTTTACAGCCAAGTTAGACAAGCTAAATCTTCGAAATAAAAAGTCAAAAAGGCACAGGGCAAAGGCCCCAGGATCGATCCCAAGTCCCCTCCTCCACAAAAAAAAAAGCCCATAGAGTTTAAACCATGGACATTTTACGTGCAGGTCTGTGCATATTTCGCCTGCGTCACAGATGTATCCCTAAGAAAGCGTCCGAGGAGCCCGGGTTTGTGAATTATTAATGATGTAATCGCTCTCCAAACTGGGCGGAGGCAGCCAGGCCAGTGCCCTAGATCCGTGGAGCAGCGTCTGCGCAAGCGCGAGTGAAGGGCGGCTCTAGGGGGCGGGCCCTTCGCTGTCCGTCCCTCCGACCCCGCCCCGGCGCCGGGTTGACGTCACCGTCTGCGCCGCTCGTGGCGGAAGCAGGAAGTGAGACCAAAACAAAGGAGCGGCGGCCGAGAGTGGACCTGCGCGCCCTTGTCTCCCCGCCGCGAGCGCCGCTGCCTGGCCGCCGACCCCCAGCAGCCGTCCGACCATGTCCACCATGGAGAAACACCTGTTCAACCTGAAGTTCGCGGCCAAAGAACTGAGCAGGAGTGCCAAAAAATGCGACAAGGAAGAAAAGGCCGAAAAGGCCAAAATTAAGAAGGCCATTCAAAAGGGCAACATGGAAGTGGCGAGGATACACGCCGAAAACGCCATCCGCCAGAAGAACCAGGGCGTGAACTTCCTGAGGATGAGCGCGCGGGTCGACGCAGTGGCTTCCCGAGTTCAGACAGCGGTGACCATGGGCAAGGTGACCAAATCCATGGCTGGCGTGGTCAAGTCGATGGACGCGACACTGAAGACCATGAACTTGGAGAAGATCTCCGCCCTGATGGATAAGTTCGAGCACCAGTTCGAGACGCTGGACGTGCAGACGCAGCAGATGGAAGACACGATGAGCAGCACGACGACGCTGACCACTCCCCAAAACCAGGTGGACCTACTGCTCCAGGAGATGGCCGACGAGGCGGGCCTCGACCTCAACATGGAGCTGCCGCAGGGCCAGACTGGCTCCGTGGGCACCAGCGTGGCCTCGGCCGAGCAGGACGAGCTGTCCCAGAGACTGGCCCGGCTGCGGGACCAGGTGTGAGGCAGGCGCCCCCGGGTCCCCCGTGCCAATCTCTTTGCAAGATTCGCGCCTGGGACTGTGGGAAGCTGAGACGGCCTTCCGCCTGCCTTTGGGTTTACAGCAATGAGGATTTCGGTCTTTCTCCGCCCTTCCCTGGATCGTAAAGTTCTATATTGCTTGTGCTGATGTGTATTTTTATAGCTGCCTTTTAAGAGAACTAGTTGGATTGGTATATTTGGATCTTGAAAATTCGATCCGAATTGTAGTTCCCACATACTCAGTTTCCTATTTAAAATTATCAGAGTGAATGCGTTTTGTTGATTTAGTGCGATACATGGGGTAACAGGTGGTAGGTAAAAATTAAAGAAGGGGAATGGCTAATTGGCTAGGTTTCATGCTGTAAACACTTCCTTCAGCTTCCTCAGTGGACGGTACCGTCTCTGTGTAGCCTTTGTTTTCCTTCCTTTGTTTTTGCCATCAAAGCAACACTGCAATTAACTACTGATTTGTTCTCCAGTAACTTTTATTGCAATTACCTTAGGAAATTTTTCACTCTCACTGTTTACATTCTGTAAGTTTTTCATGTGATAATAGTTTGTGAAACTGAAAAAAAAAATGCCACATCATTTATTATCAGGAAAAATTAAATGTTGTCATATTTTCTATTTACCAAGAGTTTTAAAAAAAGACATAGAAGGTTTAATATTGGGCGATTTCTAGCTATTTTCCTATGTCAACACTCCAGGCTCCTGCTAAAGTATATTAATTAGGACAGCACTCATATTAAGCACCTAATGTTGCCAAAGAATTATTGATTGGTGTGAGGGAAACCCTGGGACTATGTGTTTATAGATTTTGTTTTTTGATTTTACCAACCAAAAATAGAAATAAAATTAGAACTGCATTTTAAGTTCTAATTATTTGCGTTTATTATTTTCTTTTAAAACAACACTTAGAAATTTCAAAAATATAAGTTGGATGTTTTACTTAGCCATGCAAATACTGTAACTAGAATCTACAGCCAGCCAGCTTGAAGCTGGGAGGAGAAGAGTTGGGGTTGGCAGGAAAGACTGGTTGGGTTCATCGTCCTGTGTTTTGAGTGCCTGTGAATGCTGAAGTCAAGCGTGGAGCCACCACTTTCCTCGTGGCCACACGTGGTGGAGAGCAGCAGTTTGCTTTTGCTTGGCAAGTGTGTTAATCTAAGTACTTACAGGTTTCCCTAAAGTCTCCTTCCTTGAGTGGCAGGTTTCTCCGTGAGAGAATTTTAGTATTTGAAGAAGTAAACAGGTCCCTTCCAAGTTCTTTAAAACTTGGAACTCATAACCACATGTTTATCCTTTTAACTTGTTTTGCAGCGTAAACGAGTGAAGGGAAAAACTAGCGGGTCTGTGCTGTTGTGGCCTGACACACATTTAAGTGGGTGCTGTTGGGAAGCCCGCGTCTCAAGGGCCCTGTGGCAGGCAGCTATGTGGGTGCGGCTTTTTGGACTGGAACACATAATCACAACTAACAAAATAGCTCAGTGTCGATGCTTTTGGTAATTGAAGAGTCTTGTAGAGCGCATATATTCCCTTCAAAATCTATTTTGTGAAATGCCACAATGCTTGTATATGCTTGAACTTTCTTAAAATATGTTCATTTCATACTATATGGATGTGCATTTTTATGAATCAAATATTTTCAAAAGCACTACAGGCCCATGCATCATTTCTTCCCTTTTGAAATTCATGCAGTGTAGAAATGAAAATTACAGAAATTTCTTAAATAAATCATTTTAAGCCACACATTATTGTATATGAGTATGGATTGCACTTAAGCCGTATAAGGGCTGGGATATAGTTTAGGGGAGCACATACCTTTAGAGTTGGAAAGGCCCTGGATTTGACTTCAATACTATGTCCTCCAAAACATTTTTTAAAAGCTCTTTAAGAAACGAGATGTCACAGATAGATTCGGTTTAGAAGCGTGCTGTTTTCACACAGGTTCTCAGTCCTAGCAGCAGAGTTCTTATTTAGCTGGCATAGCATTTGCTTGCATATTCCTGGGAGCCTTGCCTGTTCCTTCACTATGTAGTCATTTCTACTTGGCAACAAGATTCATCTTCCCTAGACCACAGGCAGGTCCGGGTTACACAAGGATCCAACCCAGACGTACAGGGCAGTAGGTAATTTTCATGCAACTACCGGTCTTCAAATGTGGTTTCTAACCTGGGTTTAGAATCCACAGGAGAAGAATACCGTGTACTGTCTCAAACACTTTCTTGTCCTCTGCTTATAGTTCAGTGCAAACCCAGATGTCACAGCTGGAGAACAGTAGCTAAATCCGTTTGCCCTGAAGGGGCCGAGCCTTGGTGTGTGAAGGCCTCTGAGGACGGACGCCACTGCCGCTGCTGACTTGGAAGAGGCCAAGACAGGCACCGTGGGTTGGGACCTGGCTCGGTGTAGAGCACTTGCCCAGCCTGCATGAGGCCCTGGTTCCATGCAGCACCAGGTGACCACCTCAGCAGCAGGGGCAGAGTCAAGGTCAGCAGGCAGGACCCCAGCAGGGAGGAAATCCTGCTGCTGCACTCCCAGCGCGCCACCACCCCCCCCCCCCGGGGCCTTTTGCTGAGCTGCATTCGGGAGTGCAAGGTGTTGACACCAGTTGTGCAAAGCTGTGAGCCAGCGAAGAGGCCTCTGTGGTTGTGGTTTTCAGTGAATTGCCCAGAATTAGTAACAACTCACCTGGTTTTCCCAAGTTTACTTTCTCCAACTAGACAGCAGGTCCACAGGAGGCTGGCCAGGGCCTCCACTGTCTGTCCTGGGCCCGGGCTGGCGGCTGGCACAGGCCCTCCAGCCGCATACCATGGGACACAGGCCTGGATGATGTGCTTATGACAGTGCCAGCTGGAGCTGGCCCAGTACTCTGTGCTTGCCTGCCTCTGTGTGTCCAGGTTCCCGCCCTGCTTCCCTGAAAGGGATCACGATAAGCAAGCTCTTGAGGGCTGGATACAGTGTAAGATGGAAACCAAACAGACCAGGTACCAGCTCGGGGAACCTCTTCCTAGAAGCTTAAAAAAGCCATGCTGCTGCTCCTAAGTGTCATTCAGTACAATGAAGTAGCAAGGACACAGACATGAAAAGTGGACATAGTATAAAAATAGCAAGACAAAGATCAGTGCCAGCCAAACAGACATGGTGGCATCAGTCCCAGCTATTCAGGATGCTGAGGCGGGAAGATCCCAAGTTTAAAGCCAGCTTGGGCAAGGGCAACTGGGGAAGACCCTGAAAAAAGAAGAAAAGAAGGAAGGAAAGAAAGAGAAAACAAAAAGAGTGCAGTTTTCATGTTTTATGTGTTTCCCACCTCACCTTTTAAGAAAGGCAAGAACTGCAGTGTAGGGCAGTGGACTGTGCTAGTCGACCCCATAAATACCAAGCAAAAGGGATCCCTGTGTCTCTGGCCACTAGAATTAGCATCTTGGAGCAAGACATCTCGGGTTTCCAAGGGAAAAGTGAGTCCCAGAGGCCAAAGCCTCAGCGGCCTGGCCAAGCTGGGACACAGTAGAGGTCGGTTTGACATCAAAGGTGAGAAGCCCAGGCCACAGGCATGGAGTTGCCCGTCTGCAGGAAGTAGAAGACTGGACTCCTGGGAATGGCTGTCCAGTGGAGAGAGAACACAGCACCAGTCACTGTCCCAGGTCTCTGGACCCTCAGAGATGGCCGCAGACCTGGGCAGAGGTCTGCAGAGGCTCTGTGCTGCCGGGCTGGGCCTGCCAGGGTGAGGGGCTTGTCTGGCCCAAGACAGCACTTGCCAGCACCTCTGCTATGGGCACGGCTCTCCTAACGGCATCCTAGCATGAAGAACCCTAAGCAAGTGTCAAGAGCACAGAGTGACTTTTTACTTGCCTTGATGGTTTCAACTTACTGTATTTTTTCACAACACAGGATTGAAATGCAGAGGATTGCCATGAGTTGACACAGTGAGACCCTGTCTCAAAAAAAAATTGTAAAGCATTTTAATTGCATTTGGTTGCTGCTGCTTCTCAGATCCAGTGATAAAAGCACGTGATGGAGCTGTGCGTGGCTTTTCCTGGCTGTCCCTGTCGCCCTGTCTCACATTCTGTGGCTGTAAGAAGTCTGTGACTCAGGTTGTTTCCATGGGAAAGCGAACTGCAGATGGGTATAAACATGAGCACCTGTTGATATTTTATGTGGGGGACTTTGGGGCACTTGGGTATGTTGTTGTTTGCATTTTGGCAACAGAGCGCTCTAAAGGATAAGGACAAAAACCACTTCTGCAGTCCTGAATGTCCTCCGTGTGGCCAGAAACAATGGAGAGAAAACACAGAAATTGCTCTGCCCCCGCCAGGGTGCACTCGCCGGCACTGTCCCTACTCTGCTGCCGTCCTTGCCACACGTGGGTCCTTCTCCATCGTGTTCACGGGGCTCCCAGATTCACCCTGCTGTGCTGCTCAGCATGCCGTGGCCTGTTAAACTGTGGCCCTTCCAGAAGTCACACTGGAACTCCAGGTGTGACTGCCAAGACCCTTGTGGGGCTGCCTCTGACTCTACCCTGGAGACCTCAGAGTGTATCCTATGAACCCCAGGAACACCGGTTCACTCTGCCAACCTCCGAGTCCGTTCACCCACCTTATGCACCTCCTGTTTTAGGCTGGCCTCTTCCTGAATGCTAACTGGAGCCACGGGCTTCGAATCTCCTTTCAGTCCTGGGCAGCAACTGGGTTTCTGTGTCCCCACGGCTGAGCTCTGTAAGTCCCTGCCCGGGTCCCAGGGCAGACAGGAGGAGTTAGCAGGTCTCACTACTGATCCCTGAGGTATGACCAGGTCGGGACCCTCTTCTCCCAGCCTCTGGGCTGCTGTAGCAGCTGGCAAGGTTGACAGTCCTTGTTTAAAGAGGCCACCAGCATCAGGGGCTGCTGGCGTCTCCACGGCCCTGTCACCTGAGCCAGATACCAGGCCCCCTGCAGGCTCCCTGACTTCTTTGGTGGACTGCAGGCCAGGGTAGCTGCACATCCCTCTGCAGAGCCGCCCTCCCTGATGTCCTGTCACGTGACCTCCCTGCTGACCATGGAGGGTGCAGCCTGCTCTCTCCCCTTACCCAGCCTGTGTACTGCCCCACCACACCGAGAAGCTGTGCTGCTTGTGGCTGCCCTATGCCAGGCTTGTGCCAAGTGCAAGGACACAGGCTGCCAGTCATGCTGGGCCATGGGGACCTCGTGAGTGAGCGTCTCGGCAGGAGGCTGTTAGGGTGGCTTAGGAAGCCAGTGGTCATTCTGTGGCTTTGACCGAGCAGGTCATTAACTGGGCCTATCATGACACCAGCTTGGAGGGTGCATTTGCTTGAGCGCACACCAGTTTGGGGACAGGACCAGACTCGGGCAGATGCTAGGCAGGCTGGACCCTGAGCCTGCTCACCTCTGCTCTCTGGTTATCCGCCCACCCCGCCTGTCAGCAGGCCAGAGATGAGGGTCACAAGCTCACCAGCTCCTTGTGCTGGAGAGGAGCCCTGGCCACCAATCACCAGTGCTGGCCTTTTCTGTCCAGGGACCCTCAGGGTCCCCTCATGACCCGACCTCCCCAGGTCCCTTGCTCATGCTGAGGGCTGGGTGCCGGGGACATGGAAGCCACCAGGTTACAGGCCACCTGCTGGGTCTTGAGTTCCAGGGCAGGACAGCACCAGGCCCATGGACACAGGCAGAGACATCCATCCATTTCGGTCACCTGCCACCCGTGCACCCTGCTGTCCTGCCACAACTGTCACCTCCATGTGTCCACAGGGCTGGGACAGAGACGCACCTCACCCTACACTCAGGCTCACACACAGCCGTGCACACCACTGCACATGTCCTGTTCCCACTGGGAGCGCAGCACCCTGGAGGAACCCTGCCACCTCCCACTGCGTGTCTGCCTTTCCACCTTTTATCAGTCTATGTTTGCTGCACATAAAGACTGCGTTCCTTGTGGGGAGCTGGTGCATGGATGCATCTCAGTTCTCTGTATGTCCCTTCCCCTCCCGCTTCCTGCATCTACTGACCCTGTCCCCTTCAGGGTGCCTCTGCTGCCAGCCAAGGAGGGGAGGCCCAGTGCCTGCCCAACCCCAAGGACGCTGACCATAAAGATCTGGAAGGAAAGAAAGGAACATGGTGGGTGGGAGGAAACAAAGCTGGTCCTGGGCCCCCAGTGCCTGTGCTCACTGTGCCTCTGTGGGTGTCCTGTTCTTGCACCCTCAGCCCGGGTTAAGTTCCCAAGAACCTGTGAGCCCTGATCATACTCTGTCTTGCAGCTTCCTGGAGAGAATCGACAGCGTGAGCCTGGTGGACTACACACCTACAGACCAGGTACAAAGCCGCCCTCCGGGACCACTCTGGGTTGCCTTAAATAAATTGAGGGGAAGCACCGACATCTTGCCCTGCATGTGTCAGGGATGTCACCATACTCAAGCCCTCCAGGCTAGCGTGGGAAGAATTCCCATATGGTTCTTTCACCCCTGAGCCTCTGTCCCCTCCTGCTGAGCCCAGAGCAGCTCCCTGGCCTGAGCTGGAACAAAGCGAACCTCGACCCTTGGAATGTTGGGGACAGAGAACCATGTGGAACCCGCCTCCCCTCAAACAGCCCACATGCCCCCAGGCATCATCCCCACTGCCAAAGGTCCCTCCTCAGAGGCTGTAGCACAGTCTAGGGATCCCACCTTCCTCACCCCCAGGCTGTCCTAAACTGTCCTCCAGCCCTGAGACATATGGCCACCTCAAATCCCCAGATCACAGCACAGATCCAAGTGGACTCTGTGACATGCAGGACTTCCTCATCACCAGAGACCACAGCATCTGGTGGGGATTTGGGAGAGGGAACACTGAAGTGAGCCTCAGGCTGATGAGACCCCAGGCTCCAGGTCCCTGCAGAGACAGTAGCTTCCCCCGCTAAAAAGTCTCAAGAACAAAAGCTCAGACACTGGGTCTCTGAGGAATCAAGACCTTCCTGTGGGGGTGGAGGCCCAGCGGACCCCAAGTTCTGGCTCTTTCTGGAGTTCAAGACCCTGGCTCCCAGCCTGGCTTAGCACTGCCTCTGCTCCCACAGGACCTGCTGAGGTGCAGGGTGCTGACCTCGGGCATCTTCGAGACTCGGTTCCAGGTGGACAAAGTGAACTTCCAGTGAGTATGGCTGAGATGGGGCGATGGGTCCCCGGGGGTGATGGCTCCCCTGCAGGCTCAGAGTGCAGCTGGGCTGGGTGTCAGGTCCCCAGGACTGAAAGGTCCCCAAAGGTGATGGTCCCCTGTGGCCTCACACTACCCTGGGCCACTCCCTTTGGTGAGAAGGAGACAATGACCTTTGCTCGCTTGTTGCTCAGGCTTCAGGGTTGGGCTCCACATGGCCGCAGCAGCCAGCAGGACACGGTGTCCACTGGAGGCTACTGACTGTGGCATCCACGCTGCACTGGCCACTCTCTATGCCCCATCCCACTGCCACAGCCACAAGAGAGTAGCAGAGGGACCAGGCTGAGTGAGGCCAAGGTCACATCGGGCAGTGGGGTGTAATGAAGGGAGCTGCCAGTGCCTGTGGGCTCCACCTGAGCGCCTGATCCCCCGCAGCATGTTCGACGTGGGCGGCCAGCGTGACGAGCGCAGGAAGTGGATCCAGTGCTTTAACGGTGAGGCCCTGCTGGGGAGAGGGGGGTGCTCCATACCACACAGACTAAGCCTGCAGACCCGGTGCCGCTGCCTTCCACAGAACCCCCAGGCAGAGGGTTTAAGGAGCCCGGCCCCATCCGGCACACCCACAGGGCCCCTTACACATGCAGCACACCCCCCGGTGCCAGCAGGTAGGTGTGTGTGCCGCATAGTCACTGCTCACTCACTTCCTCACTGTCCCCTCGCAGACGTCACTGCTATCATCTACGTCGCAGCCTGCAGCAGCTACAACATGGTCATCCGGGAGGACAACAACACCAACCGGCTGAGGGAATCCCTGGACCTCTTCGAGAGCATCTGGAACAACAGGTGACAGGGTGCAGCTTCAGGCAGCCGCTGGATCAGGGTCTCCTCCTGTTAGACACCGAGGAGCCGGGCAATGACACAGGATTCATCCCGGCACTCGGGAGGCTGAGGCAGACAGATTCCACATTTGAGGCCAGGGCAGGCAACTTGGGAGATCCTGGCTCAAAATGAACAAATCATCAGGACTGGAGATGTGGCGCATGTGTAGGGAAGCCCTGGGTTCACACCCCAGTGTACATGCATATGTACTCCAAAGACGGCAGATGTGTTACTAGCAGGGCTCATGGTCATTTATTCTCGGTCAGCACGCCCTTTCCTTACCCAAAAGCCCTAAGCCATAGGAAGTGTCTCTTTCACGCCATCTAAGTACAGTTGTACTTAAAATGGGGAATGTTCGTTGATGACACTCTGATGGTGCTTTTTCAAGAAAATTTAAACCTTTTTGAAAGCTGAGATTATACCTAGGGCTCAAAACTGGTTTGATTTAGTTTTTAAAACCATCTGCTGACAGTTTCACGGTCTCTGAGATCACTCAGAGCCAAAGGCACAGTGTAACCATGCCTGACATGCCGTGTGGCGGAGACCAGGACCGGGTCAGCAAGGCAGGCACCTGGCTCTTGCGCCTCTCACCCAGCTGAAACCAGAGCCCGAGAAGTGCTTGGGAAGAGCACAGTGGAGCCCCAGAGCGCTGGGTCCCGGGAGGCATCTTCTCTACAGGGCCTGGAGCCTGCTCTGGTTCTCTGCTGCTGAGAGAGTTCAGCAGGACCCTTTGGAGTCACTGTGACTGCCGCACCATGGCCACACAGCACAGGAGCCATGGGTCTCGCTGTGAGACAGGACCAGGCTTCAGCCGGGCGGGAGCACTGCTCAGCACCCACAAGAGCCCTGAAAGAGACAAGAGCACCACCACCACCAGCACCACCCCCCCGGCCCGGCCTGAGAGCCCTGAGAGTGCAGCTTAGGGCATCTCTCCAAATAACCACACTGGATTATTTTCTACATTTTTGGGTGATTTAAGATTCTAATCCTTTTTGGGGGTGGAGCTTTGATTGAATCCAAGGCCTTGAGAATGTTGGGGTATGCCCTGCCTTGGGGCTCTGTCCCCAGGCTCTTTCTCAAACTTGCTATCACTGGGCTTCCCTCGCTGGCCTCCAACTTCAGATCCTACTGCCTCAGTCTCCCTAGTAGCTGGCATCACAGGCATGCCCAGCTGTAGATTATAGTCTCAGTGTACCTGAAGGCTGGTTAGTCTTAACTGAAGATTATGGAAGATGACCTGTCACTAAGATCACTTAATAACTAGCAGAAGCAGTGCTGCTTCTCTGCCCAGGTGAGTGGCCACTCACAGCCCCTGGAAGGGAAGTATCCGGGCTCTGCACATTTACATGGCTACCCTTCGAGCCGGTGCCTGGAGCCAATGCCATGAGGCAAAGTGCACAGGGACCTTTGCCTGCTTCCCATCACTATCCGTAGGCCACCTCTCTGTCCCTGTCACATCTGGTTATTGTGACAGCTTCTGCCAGGACCAGACCTGCTGGGGGACAGTCAGGGACTGGCCAGAGAGCCCCGCATCCTCCTGCGGCCTCAGGGTGGCCGCTGTAACCTCTCCCAAGCCCTTGCCACCCTGCGCACTCAGAGGTGGGTTTCAGCTCAGTTCCCGTGAACTCCAGCCCAGCAGAGCTGAAGGAGAAGGCGCCATCAACCCAGTGATGACCTGCACCTGCCATCGCCAATATGGGGAGTATTGGTGCCTCTGACTCAACCCACCCTCCAGTGGGGCTGGTGGCCATGAGAATGTTGCCTGGTTTGAAATCTGTGTCTGTCGCTGCTTGCAGGTGGCTGCGCACCATCTCCATAATCTTGTTCCTGAACAAGCAGGACATGCTGGCAGAGAAGGTCCTGGCAGGGAAATCAAAGATCGAAGACTATTTCCCCGAGTACGCAAACTACACTGTTCCAGAAGATGGTAAGGTCCTGACCGGGCAGCAGGATCTTGGGAGTCCTGACCCAAAGGGGCCTCGCTGATTTAGGTTGTCCTCTCCCTGCGCCCAACTGCTGGAGTCCAGGAGCACAGCTCCACCTGGCCCTGGGCAGGTGGTTGAGTCAGGACCTGGATATCTGCACAGACAGGGAGGTCTCTAAGCGTGACAGTCACCTGTGTTCCACACATGCCTCTGTGCTAGGCCCACAGCTGACATTTCCAGCACACCTGCACCCTGACTATGCCTCACACTCGAGTCAGGTGTGCGCTTTTCCAGGTGGACTCACAGTCAGATTGTAGAACTTTCAGATTTCAGCTGAAGGCCGCTCTGATGCAGAAGAGTATCCCCTGCGGCACCCCTTCATGCTGTGGGGCCCAGGAAGGCAGCGGTGGCAGCCTTGCCCTCCTGCAGCCTCAGTGGTACTGTCTCGGCCTCCCGTGGGTGAGGTTGATGGAGGTGACCCTGGGCATCCAGGTCACATGGATGCAGCCTCCAAAGGCCAGGTGGTGTGGCGTGGACAGGAGGGCGCGGTCCTCACTCCTGCTTCTGGTCACCCGTCAGCTTTCCAGTGCCTTCCTGAGCCTCCCACGGGGCCCAGGCCTGGCTGATGTGAGAAAGAAGCCAGCACAGGCCAAAGGGTGGCAGGGTGTGAAGAGCCAGCTCAGACCTGTTTTCTGCCTCTGCAGGGCCACACCCTCGTTTCACTCCATGAAACTTCATTTTTAATTCCCACAGCAACCCCAGATGCAGGAGAAGACCCCAAGGTTACCAGAGCCAAGTTCTTCATCCGGGACCTCTTTCTGGTGCGTGACTTTACTAACTTTTGTTCCACCACCTTAGCATTTTATTCACTGAAACTTGCAAATGATTTAGCCTTTCCCAAGCTCACGGACACTTCACCACATAAGAGCCTCAGTGTCAGAACTGAGCACACCAAGGTCAGAGAGGCTGGATCAGTCCCCATAGCCACACGCTCCCTGCTCCCTGGACCGTCCTCTACATCCCTCGGCTGTGAATCTTGCATCTCAAAGCTCACCAGAGACTTTTCCCCTGGGCCTTTTCATGAGGTCTTGGGGCCTGGGCCTTTTTCACCTGGTGACCCAGCCACATGACCTCTCCTCCCCCAGGCCCTTGCTGTCACCTCCAGGGAACATCAGGGCAAAAATCAGGTGTCTGAAACACAAAAAGGGACTCAGCAGACCGCAGCAAGACCCGACCCGAGTCCGTGCCCAAGTCTGTATGGCCCAGGCAGGGACAGCAAGGCTGGGTGCCCAGGCAAGCATCTGGCACACAGTAGAGGGAACAGGTGAGAACAGTCTCCCAGCAGCCCCTGGAGATCATGCCTGAGATCAGCTGTGCATGAGCTCTCACAGCCTGGGCAGAGGTGAGGCCAGGTGCAGCCCGCAGTCACCACTGCAGCTTCCACCCTGGGCAAGCAGGTGGCCATCACCTCCCTGTCCTCACTGGCCTGTGTGCTCACCTCGCCTGTGTGCACGGACAGCCACACTAGATCAGCATCACCCTGGGCACCTCGTCCTACCTTCTTTACCTCTTCAAAGACAGTCACATCCGTGAGCCTGGGGTTAGAGGGCAGCACGACTCCAGCCAGGCACACGGTATGCCCATATGGCCCCTCCGGCCTCTGCAGCCCAGCTGGCTTCCTGCTGCCCATGCCTATGCTCTGAAGGTTCCTCATGTCTGGAGGGAACAGGTTTAACCTGCACTCCCAGAGCTGCTGATGACGCAGCACTTCTCTCCATGCCATAGGGGCATTCCCACAGCTGGGACAACGTAGTGAGTGCCGAGGATCACTGAGTGCACATCTGCACCACAGGGCCTTGTCACGTGTGGGGACCTAAATTAAGTCAGTGAAATCTCAGTGACCAGAACCCAAGCCCTGGTTTACCTACTGGCAGCAGTGGCTGCTGTGTCCCTGGCAGACATTGGATGGTCCCACCCCGGAGCAGGTTCTGTCCCCATCGCTGGCCCGGATGCTTCCAGGAGCCGAGCCTGGCTTGCTCCCCAGTCCAGCACTGTGCTTTGCCCACTGCCACATCTCGCAGCCCAGAGCCCACAGGTACAGGCAAGCTCAAGGCTGCCCAGATGTGAACTAATCAGCTTTCCAGTTGTTGGGACACAGTGCCTAATGCCCACAACTTAAAGGATGGGTGACTTGGCTCACATTTCCAGGGGAGTCAGTCCATGGTAGACCAGAGACTTACTTCTTGGTGGCCAGGAGGCAGAGCAGGGGAACAGTGCCAGAGAGGAAGGGGCGGAAACCAAGGTCACACCCCCATGCCCACCTGACACACCTGGAAGTGTGCCGCTCTTCACCTGATGAACTGGCTGTCTCAGGACTAAGGGTCCCCAGGTCTCAGCATATGCCCCATGTCCAGGCAGCCCCACCTTTGCCCCTCCAGTCCTGGAGCAACGTTGTCCCAGCACACCCATGCCTGGGAGCCATGAGGTTCTCACACAGACCCCCGCTTTTGCAGAGGATCAGCACGGCGACCGGAGATGGCAAGCACTACTGCTACCCCCACTTCACCTGCGCTGTGGACACAGAGAACATCCGCCGCGTCTTCAACGACTGCAGAGACATCATCCAGCGCATGCACCTCAAGCAGTACGAGCTCTTGTGAGGACGTCACGCCCCGCCCACCCAGCCCTATCCAGAGGTGGGCATCCCTCGGGACAGCGACCTCTCTGCCTCGAGCCATGTAGTCTGTAGTGTCCAGTGTCACCTGTCCTGTCCTGAGCACACCAGTGCGTGACCACCAAGCCTCTGGCTACCTCTGTCCCCTAGGTTTGGTTTTGTAGCTTTGTTTCCACTAAACACAGCCGTGGCCCTCCCCCTGTCCCTGTCACAGCAGACGCTGGCCCAGGGTGGCACTGTGGTGATGTCTCTCCTGTGGGGACCCCGACTCACTGATTAGTGAGCTCAGTAGCGTGGGGAAGGCGTATGTCCTTTTCAGTTTTGCTGTGATGAAGCCACAGGCTGTCAGGTGGCCGCCCCTCCCATCACCTCGGGCCGGGGCTCAGGGCAGGCCGAGTGGTGGGGAGAGAGTCCCTTGCCCCCGGGAGCATCCACACCGAGCAGAAAGCCCCACATTCACTCCCAGAAAGCATCTCCTCTCTAGACCAACCCTGCGCTTTCCCAGTACCTGGACTCGGTCTCCTCCCATGTTCTCATTGTTGGTTTATTACACTGTTCAGACCATAACCTGAAACCTTCTTTTGAATCATGACTCAACCAAACTCCCTGCTGGTTTTTGCACCTCGATGGTAGCGCTGCACATGAGAAAAATGTGTTCTCCCTGTACCAAACAGCTCTGCAGCGACGCAGCCCACTGCTCACTCAGAAGAAAAGGATGAAGAGCATTCGTGGGATGCAGGACATTTTTATTGGGCTGCAATTTTATAAAATACTCCTTGACTTAAAAAAGAAAAGTCAGGGCTGGGGATTTAGCTCAGTGGCTGCCTTGCAAGTGCACAGTCGTGAGTTCAATCCCCAGTACCAAAAAAAAGAAAGAAAAGTATACTCAGCCAGGCATGGTGGCATTCGTGTGCAATCCAAGCCCTTGGGAGGCTGAGGCAGGGGTTCGCTGTGAGTTCAAGGCTAGCCTGGACTAGCCTGGATGCTACACAGCAAGACCCTGTCTCAGAGGAAAAAACAAAATAAAGCGAGTGTCCATAATTGACACCATGTGTGAACCATCACGCCTACCACAGCCCCCACCCTAGGAAATACCAAGCTCGGATCCAGGCCATAGACTGCACCCTCTGCTCCAGGGAATGGGGACATTTTCCCCAGCCACTTCAGCTCCCAGACCAGCTCCTGGGCAGGTACAGTTGAGCAGCCCTAGACTGCAGAGCAGCAGTGATCATCGAGAAGGCTGGGGCTGCCACCCTGGGTGACAGCCAAAGAGGAGGGGATGTCCATCATCTCCCCAAGCAGACCCCTCGCAAAGCCTTTGGCACTGCGCTGAGGTGCCAGGGTGGGGCCCAGAGCCCGTGCATGCCAGGCAAGTGCTCTGCCTGAGCTTCATCCCCACCCCACAAAACCCAAACAGACAGCAGACAGCTCCTCCTGCAGGACTGGCACACACAGCCTTGAGAATCAGAGACTGAGGCTGCTGCTGCTGCTGCTGTGGACCCAGGCACACAGGCATCTCCATGGCCTGAGGCCACCGGAGAAGACGCCTGCGTCAGTGCTTCACCTTCCTGAGCCAGACAGCGAGGGCCGCAGCACCTCAGCCACTCTGCCTCTGTTCCTCCGTGTTCTACAGTTGACTCCAGAGGTCAGTGGTTCCCCAATCAGTACGAGATCACCCAGACTAAAATGTCACCTCTGGGAAGGCCAGCAGCATGATCCCCGCCCTGCCCACAGCCTCCCCACTTCAGTGCTGGACCCTTTGGTTGGCCTGGGGTAGAACAGAAGGGTCGTCCACCTCGCCAGGGTCTTTCAAAGCAGAACAGGAAGAAAACCAAAGAAATGCACCTCCAGCAAAGAGGAATGTGGGAAAGTGTTGCCTCTGCACATTTCAGGACGGCAACTGGGCTTTCTCAGCACGCACATGGCCCAGGCTTGGTCCCCAGCACTGCCTGCAACCAGAGAAATACATCAAAGCCAGGTTCAAAAATAAGAACTGTACTCTTAGGGGGAAAAAACACCAGTACAGCTTGTCTGACTTTAAATCACTGTAGCGTTTATTTTTCCATACCACAAGCCACGTCCAAGTCTACTTTCAAGTCCAGGTCTTTGAGAGGCATGATGTCAGGTGCCAGCCCAGGCCTGGAAAGGAGAATTCTGTGTGTCTGGAGCCCTGATCTCAGCAGTGCAGGGTGCAGGACGAAGCCCAAGGGCAGTGTGCCCTGCTCCCTGAGGTGAAAGGGAGATCCCAGGACAGAGCCACGCTGGGACCCATGCTCCAGCAGGGGCAGCTGTGTGCAGGTGACGCTGCCCAGCCCCCTCGTGTTCCACACACAGGAGCTCAGGTGGGTTGCAGGGCATGTACCCCATTTTTCTAGCATGAGGGCAGCGTGGTCTGTTCCTCGAGCAGCCTCACCACGCTGATGACACAGCTTCCATGACCCAAAGACGGCACTGACCTGGAGCGGCATATGCCACTGCCGCCCCCTCACCTGGCCCTGTGTGTCCTGAGCACTGTCCAGCCGGATGGGAAAGGCAGGGCCAGCCGCTCCAGGTGAGCCAGGGTGACAACCACGAGGAGCCCCAGCACCCCGAAGTAGGTGGCCAGGACGGTGTCCTCCTGCGGCAGGAAGCACTTGGCAAGGGCGTAGTCTTGCGACGTCAGGCTGGCCTGGGAAAGGGGGACATACAGCAGTCTGACCCAGGGGCCCTGGCATCTGAGGCCCCAAAGCAACCACACCCCGGCACAGTGGGTCCCCCTGTGCTATGGGGACTTGGAACAGAAGCCCTGTGCTGTGTCACAGAGGCTGTGGGGCCGGTATGATAGCCGTGTCCTCAGGTTCCAGCCATGCTCAGCTCGCCCTTCCCATGGAGCAAGACACCTGCGGACACGGTCCCTGGAGTGGGGAGGTACAGGGGAAGTTAGTTTCCCTGGCTCTTGGCAAGTGGACAGCCGGCTTCTGTGCCGGCCAGTGTGACAGCCCTCTTGTGACAATAAAGGCCACTGTAGTTACCATGATGAAGCTGGGGTTGTTTCTATTCCTCCAGCTGAAGGACGGGACGCTGACCTCAGGGGTCCCCGAGCCGTGCAGCACCTCACAGGCACTGTGTGTGTGGCCACTCAGCACCAGGCGCGGCCTGAACCACCACAGCAGCTGGACGTGGGCAGACGGGGTCGGGAACACAAGAAGGCAGTCAGCACAGGACGAGGTGGGGAAGACATGGGCAGCTGATCACAGGATGGGGGACCCGGAAAGTGTCCCTAGCTAGGTCAGTTCTTTCACTGAAATAAACCTTAATCATGCAGGATGGGCTGATTTTTCCCCTCTAAATCCTGTTTTACTAGAATCTACTCTTCCCATCTCAGATTTTTTGTTTATATTATTTCATTTATAAATATTTTATAAACTTATTTTAGGGGTTTTTTTGGTACTAGGGGATTGAACTTATGACTTAGTGCTTGTCAGAAAAGTACTTGTGCCCCTGAGCTACATCCCCAGCCCTATAAACTTATTTTAAATGTACTTCACAAATATATTTCAAATATAAACTAATATTTATTTTAAATGTACATATAAATTTCATTTTTGTTATATATGTTATATATGATGCATACACTACACATTTTCAAGAAAGCATGTTTTATTTAAGTCCCTAAAAATTGGACTGTAAGTTCCTTATGTTTCCAGATCCATTTATGTTGATGGGCAGTATTTTTCTCTTCTCAGTACTGGGGCTGAACCTGGAGACTGCACTGAGCCACAGTCCTGGTCCTTTTTTTATTTTTGACACAGTCTCACTTAGCTGTCTTGGCTGGGCTCCCACTAGGGATCCTCCTGCCTCAGCCTCTCAGAGTGCTGGGAATACAGGAATGCACTCACGGGGTTGCTGGAGGGAATGTTTTGAAAGCCATGAGATGAGAATATCACTCACTTGCCATCAGGAGAAGCAGATCTACTGAAAACCAAGGTCAAGTATGGCCCTGAGCTCATCTGTCCCTCTGTCCCCCTGCCCCCCTGGGGTGGCTTGTAGCCACAGAACCTGTACCTTCTGAGAGGCCTCCCAGGAAAGCACGTCGTATCTCTCTGTGAAGGGAACAGTCCTCTCATCCGGCGGAGCTGCGTCTGGCCCCGAGCAGTTGGCATCGCTGGCGCGGTACAGTGGGTAATGCTGTGGCAGCAGGGTCAGAGGCTGTGCTGGCCCAGGTCCCCCGCCACCCCCGCACACCCCAAGTCCCCGCCCGCTCACCTGCAGCAGGATGGGGGCTGATGGGGGCAGCCGCCGCCCCGCTCTACACAGGCTGGGGCCCCGAGCCTGCAGGCAGAGCCAGTGTCACATCAGGCATGCCCAGCACCCAGGGGCGAGGCAGGGAGCGCACTGTGGGGGCAGAGGGTGCCTGACTGAGGTCCCCACCTCTCGGGAGCAGTTCAGCCATTGAGAAATCTCCAGAAGCTTGGTCTCGGCCACCGCACAAATGCTGCAACCATCGCCCTCCATGGCCACACTGTTGACCATCACAAAGCTGGGAACAGGGCAGAGGACACAAAACCCCAATGTGGGGTGTACCCCAAAGGGGCTCCCCTGAGCTTCACACCCCAGACCTGCCTATGAGGAACACCGAGCAAGCACCTGCCCAGCTGGGCCCCTGGCCAAGCTGTCCCCGGCAAGCCCCCATCCGTGCCTGGCTGTGGCGTGGAGGATACAAGTCCACCCATCTGCAGGCCACAATGACCAGATGAAGCAGCACAGTGTAGCCAGGACCAGCCGGCCACTAAAGCCTCACTCCATGGAGGGGCCTGGCTGGCTGTGGGAACCTGGGCACCAGCAGGGAGGCCGAGGGCTGGGCATCCCCAGGCAGGGCCGTGAGGCTGGCTGTCCTCCAGAGGCCTGGGCCAGGATTTGCACCGTGAGCTCCTCCCGAGTGGCCTAGCAGGCCACTGCACACCCATCACAGTGCAGAGGTCAGGACTGAGGAGCCCAAGGCGTGGGACAGGAGCCTGGCAGGGGTCTGGAGAGTCAAGATGCCCCCAGGAGGCTCCAGGGAAGCAGGATAGGTTCCTGGTGCTTCACAGAAGATCCAACCCCACAGCCCAGTGAGCTGCTGTGCCCAAAAGAATGGCACAGAAAGATGGCTGGCCACCCTCCTTCACCCAGAGTTCACAGCTGAGTGAGGGGCCCACAGGGCTTTGGTCCAGTGGTCAGCACAAGAGGCAGAGGCAGCCTGGGCACTGTCACCATGGACCTTTGCCAAGTAAGTAAATTTGATCCAATAAAAAAAATGTTTTAAGCTGGGCACAGAGCCAAATACTGGGGAAGCTGGGCAGGAGGATCACTCAAGCCAGTTTGAGGCCAGCCTGTGCAGTGTACATGAGGCACCATCTCAAAAAAGCCAAAGCAACACCAAGACCAAAAAGAGGCCTTTACAAAAGAGTAGTGCAGACCGAATCTCAGGCACAGTCTTGGGCAGGGTCCAAATCCGGACTGAAGCCAGAAGTCACAGACAAGAGGCTGCAGTTGCTGAGGAAACCCACAGGGGGGCTGGAGGTTCCCACCCAGCCCAACCTCACGGTCCTGGGTGCCAAGTCAGGCTGTGGGTGCGACCAACAGAGCATCAGGCAGGCACTTGGCCCCACCACCAGTGCCACACCCTGTGACACTGACTACTTACTTCACGCCTTTTCGAGAAAACAGCCGTTGCGAGCTAAAGACGTCCTCAAAGCGCTGCACTGTGTAGCCACTCATCCTGCATGCAGAGGTCAGAAGCAGCAGCTGAGGACCGAGGCAGTCGGCTACCTGGCGGCACCAGGCTGTGAAGCAGCTCCTGGACCTGAGTGTACACGGGGTCACAGTCCAGAGCAGCTGACACACAGCCACGGGGCGGGGAGGGGTCACCTGGCACCCCAGGACCCCGTGTCCACACCAGGAAAGTGAGTGAAATAGGACTGAGCCCCAAGGCAGGTGCACCCTACAGTCCCAGCACTCTGGGAGGCCGAGGTGGGATGATGGCCAGTGCAGGCTAACCCAGCACCTTAGCAAGACTGCCTCTAGATAAAAGTAAGTAAAAAAGGGCTGGGGACACAGCTCAGAGCACAAGGCCTGGGCTCAAACCCATGTCATCATCATCATCATCATCATCATCATCATCACAAAGCAGCGATGCCAATACACCGACGCAGAGGTGCACTGAGGGGCCACACAGAAGCAGACCTGCAGCCCAGAGCATGAGTTCCCCACTGTGACTCCAGCCAGGCTCCAGCCCCAGGGCTGTGCGCCCCTGCCCCTCGAGGAGAGCTCCTTTCTGCGGAAAAACACGGCCCCCGCTGGTACATGGCTCAGTGGTCAGTGCTGGCCCAAGGTTTCCGAGGGCCAGGCCAACCCCACACAGTAAATAAACTAATCTCTAACTCAGGGCTTTCCCTGAATCCTGGCAGGGTCAAACAACAGCCTGTAAAAGCGCGTGGGGTGGTGTCAGACAGACCACTCACCAGTAGTGGAAGCCAATGTCGTGGTTGCCCGCCACCACCTTCAGCTGCACATGGGCGGGGTGTCTAAACATCTTCCGGAACCTCCCCACGTCGTCCGCCCAGGCCTGAGGGGCAGAGGCCACAGTGAGAGCCGGAAAGGAGCTGCCCTGTGTTCAGCACACAATCCTAGCTAGGCGCGGGGGCACACCTGTTAGTCTATGGCTCAGGGAGCCTGAGATATATGGAGGGTCGAAAGTTTGAACCCAGCCTGGACAACTTAGCAACTTAGTGAGACTGTGCCTTAAACTAAAAAAGATCTTAAAGCTGGGGATAAAGCTTAGGGCAAAGATGAAACCTGATACTGTGAAAGAAAGAAAGGAGGAAGAAGGGAGGGAGGCAGGGAAGGTGGGGAAAGGGAGGGAGGGACCCACAGAGAGAGAGAAATCCTGCTCTGACCTCAGAAGTCCAAACCAGAGCCTCTCAAAGCTAATGTGATTTTTAACCCTACATAATATTTTTTTACAAGACTACCTCAGTACTTCCAATGTAATGCCTTAAATTGTGTGATTTGATGCCAATTTTTAGTTAAATGGTATCCCACTGCATTTTATAACCCTTTTCAATTGGACGCCCCCAAGGACTTTGTTCCTGGGCTTCTGTCAAGGTGTTGCACGGAGATCAGGGTGCAAGGTTGCTTCGGATCCAGATCTCTTACAAGAACAGTCTCAAGAAACGTCAGGCAAACTCTCCACATGTCACAGCCAAGACAAAGACGCACGGCCTCAGGGCCCATGGGCACTATGGCCACCACCACAGGATGAGGTGCAGGTGAGGGCAGGACTCGAGCTTCCTGTGAGCAGTGCAGCTCTCACTCTTAGAAACCTCCGGCTTAAGGCAAGCATGGTGGTGCACGCCTGTCATCGCAGCACTCTCGAGGCTGAGGCAGGAGGATCGCTGTGAGTTCGAGACCAGCCTGAGCTATAAAGTAAACACAAGCCAGCCTGAACCACATAGCGTGACCTTGTCTCAAAAAGATAAAAAAAAAAAAACCTCCAAGTTTCAACTGGACCAAGATCTCCAGGTTGCCAAAAAATACCCCTCTGTTCTGACTACTAATCAGCTTTACCCCTAAAGCCTACCAAAGTATCTGGGTAGGGTCCTTTAACACAGTGACACCTTAACGATCACTGCCTGACATCAGAATAACCAGCTTAGAAAATCACAAAATACTGCTCTTAATTTAAAACATCGTATAATCTGCAAAATCAACCCAAACTCACTGTATCACCAGCTGCTTTCTGCAGACAGCGTTTCTGTGATAGCAAACTCAATCACCCTGCACTGCAGCACTCACCGAGTTTCCCCAAGCGTGGGCCCCATCCTATGCAAATTAGGGCTATCTGTGCATCCTTAAAATGCTGATGAATTCTTTAAAGTACTCCCCATAACACCTCTTTCCAAAACCATTAGCCAGTAAACATTTTAAAGTCTGCTGATTTTAGGACCAGTCTTCTCCCGTTCACATCAAGGACAAAATAAGCAGGGTTCTGACCGCTGGGGACTCGGTCTTTCTCCATGGCTCATGGAGACTCCCACCACCCCATGGCCCAGGCCAGGATCTCGAGACCCCAGAGACCGAGGAACCCCGCAGCAAGTCCCCGGCTTCTTCTGTACCTCCACTCAGAGGAAAGAAAATCAGAGGTGAGAGGCAGTAATGTCCCTTCAGTGGGCATGCAAGGCCCTTGCCCGCCCAGCTCCCACTCAGCCAGGTCTGCCCAGCCCACCTACTTCCCAGGAGATCTGCAGCCTCATTTAAAATGCGCACAGGATACACAAATCCTGAGAGGCTCAGGACAGACCAGACATTTTAATATTAGTGCACTCCAAGCCAAACATGCAATGTGAGCTGATAGATGAGCCGTGATCCGCAGTACAGTGAAGGTCTGAATTTTATAGTATTGCCAGGGGTGGTGGTGCTTGCTTGTGATCCCAGCACTCAGGAGGCTGAGGCAGGAGGATTGCCCTGAGTTCAAGGCCAGCCTGAGCTACAAAATAGACCTTGTCTCAAAACACCAAAAATAAATAAATTTCACAATATTTACTACAGTAAAAGACACAATGTCATGAATTTTTCTCCAAACTCTCCTCCTTCACACCCACCTGTCCCATCATCCTTGCCACTCTCTGAAACAGCGCTGCAGTCCTCTTTCCTAAGTGTCTGGCTGCACTGTCCTTGATGCCTCGATGTCCTGAACCCATTCAAACGTGTTGACTTTGGGGAAGAGCCAGCAGTCACCAGTGCCAGACCTGGTGACTGAGGTGGGTGAGGACACTGCACCGTGTTTTTCTGAGCCTGCCCTTCTACGGGACACCACAGGCAGCAGCATTCACCATATTTGTGATCACACCTCATTAAGACATGCCTGGGGGAAGGACCCCAGAGCTGCCTCGGAAAGCGGCCAGGACAAGGGCCCAGTGTGCTCAAAGCAGGGGTCTTCTGATTGCCCCTGCAGGTCACAGCTAGGGTGCCTGGGGCAGGGCCTACCTGTGGTGAGCTCCACTTCCCCTCATCAAAGATGTCGCCCAGAATGAAGACCACTTCAGGTTGCAGCAGCCACAGCGCAGTCTGGAAGGCGCGCTCCATCTGCCACTCCCTGGGTGGCAGGCAGCGGGGTCAAGGGACATGGACTGACTAGTCCTGTCCTCCCTCTTCCTTGACCGCCCCTGCCTCCTACCCGAATCTGTTACATGCACCGAAGGGGAGCCCACCCCAGCTGGTGCTGAGGTCCAGTCCAGGCCCATACAGCGCTTGGTCCCATCGAGGGCACAGGCTCAAACAGAGACAGCACACAGGACGGCCACGGCACTGCTGGGCAGATGATGGCCGGACTTCTGTTGCACAGGCGTGTGTATGCAGATGTGTGTGCTGCTGACCAACGAACTAGCTCTGGGTGGTGCACAGGCCACACACCCCCAGCCCAAGCTGCACATCTTAAAGGTACAGAGTGGGGCAGACAGGGAGAGACTGAGCAGCATATACTATAATCCCAGCATTCAGGGAGGCTGGGGCAGGCAGGTCCCAAGTTCAACGCCAGCCTGAGGTCTGTTACACAGAGGCTAGACCTAAGTAAAGGCCAACTTGTGAGACCTGCAGGAAGCCCCAGAGCTGTCTCTCCCTCAGCCTTGTCTGCTGCTGGTGCCTTGGTAAAAGGCACAGAGTGCCCCCACCTAGAGACACCAAGGCCCCACCCCAGAGCCCGAAGATCACTGCCTCTCTCTGAGAATACCAGAAAGGTTTCACAGTGGGCAGGGGCACTGGCTGAGGGCCACCAGGATGAGGAAAGGTTCCTGTCACCATTGCCCAGAGACGCCATCCCCATAGCCAAGGGGAGGCTACCCTCGCTGCCCTCCGATGGCGGGTAGGGAAACTGTAATCTGCACACAAGGAAAGACTCAGCCTGGGACCTCTGGAGACAGGACAGGCCTGGGAAGTGATGCCAAGGAAATAAGATGGTGGCAGAAACCAACATGGTGATTGCACCAGGAGGGACGGGGAGTGGCCACAGTCAGAAGGAAAGGGGGACTGAGGTCGAGGGAGCAGGGAGAAGGCTGGGGTGGGCCCTCAGGGCCAAGGTTCTCCTCCAGGGAGGAAAGCTATGGTGCCAGAACAGTGCTTGGCGTGGGACGCATAGTGGCTAGTGCTTAGAATCAAGTAAAGATACAGCCCAGCAGCAAAGAACCTGCCTGGCAAGCACAAGGTCCTGAGTTCAATTCTCGGCACCAAAAAAAGAAACAGTTACAAGGATACACCTTGGTGTATTTCACCACCATTAAAAACAAATACAAGGTTCTCTGGGGGACCAACGGCGGATGGTGCTGGGCAGGGACTGTTCCCACCCCAGGGAGAAGCTGCACAGCCCCTGGCACCCTGGGGGCAAAAATCCCATTAGCTCAAGCTCCCATATGGCTGGCCGCTGCCCTGTAGCCCAGCACCACTCTGGAGCAGTGCCTTCACCTGGCTGTGTGGGTCCTGCTAACCCTGCCACCCATGGAGCAGGCCCCCAGGGAGGGTCTCTGTCCTGGGTCACAGCTCTGACCCGAGAACACCAGCCTTGCATTAGACGCAAGGAAGCAAACTGCCCCAGCCCAGGAGGAAAACAACACAGCCTGACAGCCTTGGGGACAGCTCTAGAGCTCCCTGCCCCGCACCCACGAGCCCCTCTGTGCCGCTTACCTCCGCAGTTTGTCCAGCCAGTGGCCTTGTACTGCTCCAAGCAAGTGTGTGTCAGCCAGGACCATGGCTCTCAGCACGGGCACCTGCTCTCTGCCAGGGGCAGGCACCGCCACCTCTGGCCAGGCACACCGGAAAATCACAAGGTAGTAGATTAGGAATTCACAGAACAGCAGTGCAACCAAGACCACGGCCATGAGCTTCCATATCAGCAAACTCTTCTTCAGAAGGCGGAAACCCTGCCTTCCCTGCCCCCACTGAGCAGGACCCATGACTCCCACTTTGAGCCCCAGGCCACAGGACTGGGCCCATCCAGAGACCTGGAGGAACTGCAGAAGCCAGGGAGGGTGGTGGTGGCGTCTGGGCTCCACGCCTGTAGAAAACAGGAAAGAACTAGTTTTGCTCCGTGATGCACTGCAAATCCAAGTGCTGCCCCCACCCCAGAGAAGCTGCTTGGCTTTGATTTGCCCTTTGTCTACACTTCAGATTCTTAGACGTGAGAACCTGCACACACCGCAGCTCACGCACCTGGGCTGTTTCACTCTACAGTCTCACAGAGCAGCCCTCTCCCTGCTGGTGACCCCGCAAGTCCTTGTGGCATCTCCACAGCATCAGTGCCATGCACAAGCACAGAAAACAGGAGAGAGGTTTCTTTAAAGGGAAGGGGTTCAAGAGGCGGACTGGGGGACAGGGAGAGGAGGAGAAGTAAAAGGAATTAACATGCACCAGCTCCCCCAAGGAATGTGACTCCAGGAACTAGAAATGTTCCCACAAAATGCACCCACAAAAATAAAAATGAATCACGGAGCATTCTCGTGCTGGAACACCGGATTGCTCATAAGGAAGCTAAGGACTCCTCCGCCTCCCTGCCTCCATGTTCGGGGCCAGCCCTACAGGAACGGGATTCCCCTAACTGCAGGATGCCTGGGAGGCTCTGAATTCCATCACCAAGCAGGGCCCTCGGGAGACATCACTGATGTACAGCAGAACTCCCACCACCACCCTTCCAAGACCGTCAGTATCAACAGATTCTGCTGGGCACGGTGGTACATGGCTATCAGCCCAGTACACTGGGAGGTTGAGGCAGGAGGACTGTAAATTTGAGCCCAATCTGGCCAGCTCAAAGACTTAGTGAGACCCTGTCTCAAATGAAAACAGGGCTGAGGCTGTAAGTCAGTGCAAAGGCCCTGGGTTCCATCCCTAGAACCACAAAGAAGAAAATATGACCAGATTCCTGTGGCCTCTGGTGTGAACTCATTTTTCTACTCTGCTCTCCTACAAGCTACAAGGAAGGGGTATTCGCCGGTGCTGTGCTTCAGGCACCCAGCAATCTTCCACATGGCCACTGGGGACTGTCCCCGCACAGTGCATCCGATCAGGATCAATACTGCAGCCAAGTCGTCCTCACAAGCCCGGCTGCCCTGCTGCAGCACCCACCCAGTGGAACAGTGGCTTCTCTCTGGGTGCCTTACAGGGGTTCAAGCTGTGCCCTGGCCGAGCTTTGTGTCCTGTTTTGGGGAGTCCAAGGAGGGACGCCCCACAAGGGTGAGGCCTCTGAGTAGTGCTGTGTTGACCACACCAGCTCCTGGTGGGAGGATTAGAGAAAGAAGACACCCTGCTGAGTCCTCTGGCCTTGCTTTCCTTTCTGGAGGCCAGCAGAGGACAGGGACCTCACAAGGCCATGCCCGAAACCCTCATGCTGTCACTTAACAGTCGGCATAGCACTGGATCCTAAGTGCGGCCTCCCAGCAGCATCCACATGGCCCTCCAGCCTGAAACCCACTGTAATCCTGGAAATTCCCCCAACAGCCAGTGTCCTTGTGCCCATGTCCCCACTCTCAAAGCCCACTACAATACCTTGGCCTTCCAACTGGAGACACTTGGTGAAGGGCACTGACTGAGGGTGGCAGACCAAGAGCGTCTGGCCCACAAGCCTGCCCCATGTAGCCCATGCCTCAGCCCACGGGGCCAGTGGCCACAGGTGCCAGCAGTGACCAACACCGGGCCCAGTGTGGACTCGGCTTGAGCTGGCACTGGTGACAAAGAAAGTAGCCCTAAGGCACAGAGAGGATATTTCTTCAAGCACCCAGTGCCCTGGTTTTGAGAAACCAAATTTATCAAAACCAACGACCTGACCTTAAAACCCCATTTGCTTTCACAAGACCTGGAATATCCAAGATCCTAACAGCTAAGCCCAGCCCAGCTTGCAACTTCTGGCAGTAAGGAGAGGGAACTGCCCTCCAGGTGGGGTGGGGACACTCCTGTCCCAGGTAAATACCAGAGGCTGCTTCTTGGCTGCTCCTCTACCCACTCAGTCCCTTGCTCAGCAGCTGTGACTCAGAGACAGAGAGGCTGCCCTGCCCAGCGGAGTCCAGCAGAAAGGACACCGAGCAAAGTCTTCCAGGCCTGGGAGAAAAAGGGCAGCCTGCAGGTGTGCCTGGCTTGACCCTAATTCCCTAAAGATGGCCCTGTGTCCCCGCAGAGGTGATCCCCAAGCCACCAGCAGGAGGCCCACACGTGGGGGACAACCCAAGGGGGCCCTGGCCTCCCCCAAATTCTAGAGTTCTGCACGAAGAAATAAAAACCATCACACAGAGCAAGGCCTGGAAGGCAGGAGAGGGACTGAGGGAAAGGGAGGAAGAAGAGACAGTGAGACCCATGCAGAGCACCTCATCACCCTGTCCTAAACAGTAGCCAGCAAGAGCAGGCTTCAGTCCACTTTCAACACCCAAGAATCCTTGGGCTCCAGGAATGGCCCTCTTCCTCCTCTCTGCCCCAACATGTGGTCAGATTTCCTGGTGCTGTTGGGACAAACCAACCCCATCCAGGGGAGATGGACACCCCGAAGAACTGCCAGGGAGCTGGGAGCAGGAAGTCACTCCTACCCTAGGACAGCAGCAAAAGAGACCCGCCCTGGGGTCAATGCCAGCCTGGCTCATTGAAGGGGCAAGACAGAAGACCCCTGCTCCTTCTACAGCAACTGGAAAAACCACTGGACTCTTCTCAGAGGCTGGAGGGCCAACCCTCCTGGCCCTGCCCCACCCTGACCAGCCCGGTCCAAATCCAGCTGGAATCACAGCACCTGTTGGAAGAGGAAGCAGCTAGGCCAGAGCTGGTTCAGCCTTCCCTGTGGGGGGAGGGGTACTTTCGGAAGTACAGGGAAACGTGCCTGAATTAATCACCAAACCAGAAAACTCAGGAGCAGGAGGCTGGATGAAGGTTACAGTCCAGGTGTCACCTTGCCTAGAGTTCCATCCATATTGGAGCCTTCGTTTGCATTGCCAAGTTTGGGGTCAAAAGCCAAAATTCCACAGCTGGGCATGGTGGCAAACGCCTGTCATTTCAGCATCCTGGGCGGCTGAGGCAGAAAGATCTTGAGTGTGAGCCCAGAAAAGGCAACTCAGTGAGCTCCTGCCTCAAAATAAGCATGAAAATAAAAGGGCTGTGGATGGGGCTCAGTGAGAAGCCCCTTGATTTGGCGCCCAGGACTCAAAATTACTTAAACCGTTACTATTTTCACTTTCCAAGACTGATTTGTCACCCCTGCTGAGATTACTAACTGAAAACCAACAGGAACCGCGCAAGGTCACAGGTAGTCTGGCTTGGGAAGTAGAGACCGCTCCTGCTGGCAGAAAGCTGCTGGTGAGGCCCTGAAGCCCCCGCCTGGACACAACTGAAACAAATGCCCAGCCTGCAGTGGCACCCTCTTCATTATACACACACCCTACTCCTAATATCACAATGACCATAAACACAAAACCAAACCCCAGCTCATGAGGGTCTGCTCCCACAGAAGTTTCCAAACTTCTAAGAGACTCATTACTGGTTTATGAGATTAGTTCGGTGACTTGTGATCAAAAGTTTTTAAAATAAAACAGCCAGGAGTGGCAGTTCACATCTGTCATCTCAGCCCCTCTGGAGGCTGAGGCTAGGAGGAGGATTGTGAGGGTGTTCAAAACCACAGGCAAGGTAAGGCATGGTATGGCAAACCTCACGGGCTCCGTTTCCAGTCTAGGTCTCAGGCACCTGTGCGCTGCTCAGGACATGACCTCTGCTCTCAATGCCAACCTGCTCAGGACACCCGCCACCTACGGAGCCACAGGCTCCTACTCAGTCTCATTTCCCCAAACACTTCAGAATTATAGACTCACATACCCTTCACTCTTTTGCTCCACCACTAAAAGCTTAAAAACCTGGGGCCCAGGATTTAGCACAGTGGCATAAACACCTGCCTTGCAAGCCCATGGTCATGAGTTCGATCCCTGGTACCAAAAAAAAAAAAAAAAAAAAAAGCTTAAAACCTGCAGTCCTAAAAATGGGGAGGGGGAGATGTCGATGTGTTCCCACCTGCCTGAGTAAAAAGATCTGTCTGGATGCTGAGCTGAGTAGGCCGGTAACCAGGTACACAGGACTCGTGTTCTCGCCCATGCCCACATGGGACCCAATAAGGACAGCAAACCTCCTCGAAGGCTCCAAAAGTCATGCAAAGTCCCCTTCCAGCCTTTCTGGAGAAACACTGGAAATCAACGAGTAACTCCTCCACACACACACAGGGCTGGAAAGCTACCCTGGCCTGGTAAGGAGGACTTGCTTTCGGGTCTAAAATGCACAACGTTTTTAAGGGGGTGGGGCTGAGGATAGAGCCCAGGGCCCAGCCCATACCCTAGGTTTGCTTTGGAGAGCAATGGCGAGGAGCAGTGTGAGGAGGGGAGAGAAAATCAGGAGAACCGACCACACCTCACCTTAAAGCCTGGTACAAATGCTCCAAGGTGGCATCTGCCCTCAAAACTCAGCACGAGTTTATCTGAAATAAAGCAGAAAATGTTTCATTGCTGAGCAATCTTGGACCGACCCGGAAAGACATCAGAAAGCCGAGCACATGAGGCAGACAACTGCTGCTCAGGAACAGGTCTGATGGGGATGTGGGCGGCTGCAGGGGAAGAATCTCCCACACCCAGGTGGAATGCACCTGGCGCGACCTCTATAGGAGTCTGGGTGCACACTCCTCAAAACCCTACACTGGAAATTCCACTCGACCCAGCAGCTGTGCTTCCCCTAGGACTGGTCCAGGGTTCAGGTCCTCGCTGTGCGGGGTCCGGGCGCACAGCGACCCCAGCAGCACAGAGGTGACAGCTCACTCCGGGAAGCAGCCTGTGGTCCCCCAGTGGATGACCGGCAGGAAAACGCGGATTTATGCGGCGCGGGGCACCATGCTGCCCTCAGGGCAAACCTGAGTCACGCGTGGGAAAAAGGATGGAAACTGGAACGCTGAGCGAAACGAATCAGACACGCAAGCTTCACTACCGCGCGGCTTCTCTTGTACAAGAAACTCGAGGTATAAGTAAGGAGCCACGAGAGACGCACACCCGGAAACGGGGAGCTGGCGCTTCTGCCGCAGGGAAGGCACCCAGCGCCGGAGGGGGAGGGGCGGGGGGCCGGAGCCGGGGCACGCACTCCCGGGGTGTCATCAGTACGGCTGTCCACGAAGAGAAACCGGAAGGGCAAACCTAAGAAATCTGCCAGGGCTGGCGCGGAGCTCAGTGGATTCCGCCCGGAGAGGACTGCACGGGGCCCTGCAAGCACCGGGCCGCATGGCAGCCCGAGACCGAACCGTCGCCCTCCGCCGCGCCGCTCGTCCGGCCCGACCTGAGGCGACTTCCGCTTCCCGCGTGGGCCCTGAGCTCCGCCCACGGCGCGGGACGGGGAGCGGCGAGGAGGCGGGACTTGGGATGGGGACGTGGGCGGGGACATGGGCGGGGACATGGGCGGGGAGGGGGACGGGACAGCGGGGTGGGCGGGCCCGCGGGACTCGCCGTGGCGTCCTGCCCGCTCGGGACACCTCTCTTACAGCCAGGCCTCGGGCACCGTCCCCAGTGCCCTGGACACTGACACTGAGAAGCTTCCTGGCAGTGGGCGAAGCGATCACCGTGAGCCGCAAGCACACGCAGTGCCGGTGCTGAGGCGCGCACAGTGCTGTGAGGCCCACAGAGGCCGGGCCGGGGACCCGGGCCTGCCGCCACGCGAGGGTGCGGAGCGCGCTGGCCCGGAAGACCTGCTAGGGCTTGGGCCAGCGAGAGCCGCGAGGGCATGGCGGGGAGGCGGGTGCAAGCGAAGCAGCGCCTGTGTCTTCCTTCAGGCCCTGAAAGCGAGATCAAGAGCTTTCATGCTGAGACTTAGCAAGCAGACACCGGAAACACGACTGTACCTCAAAGGAATTGTTTAGTGTGCGAAATAATTTCATAGGCATTCTTTTTCATAGGAATGTCTCCTCTGGTTATATTTGACTTGCTTATTTTTTGGGAAAAAAAATACACTTAGGCTTCCCTCTCCTCTTTGTAACTTGGCCTAAGTGTACTTTTAGATATTTTGCTTTTGACTAGCATGCATCCGTTATACATGTTACTGGCTTTCAGTGTGATATTTAAACGCAGGCCTGCCTGTGCCCTCCCAGCATCTAGTAATCATCCTGTGATACTCAGGTCCACACTTGTTTTTAGCTTCCAGGTACGACAGAGAACAGTCGGCTCTTCTCTTTCTGCGGCTGGCTTATTTCACTTAAGGTTATCTCCAGTTCCACCTATTTTGCTCCAAATTATATATTTATATATATAATATATATATATATATATATATATACACACACACACACACATATACATACACATACATACACACGTACATATATGTATATGTGTGTTGCCCAAGTTGGTTCCTTGCTCCCAGGCTCAAAACTCTAGAGAAACACACTTCACTTGTCCGTTTGCTGAACTGATGCCCAATCAATATACGGAAGAAGACAAGAACTGGAAGAGGTGCTAAGAGGCTGTCAGAGCTCCTGGCTCAGGAGCTCTGCTGTGGGTGCTGTCAAGGTTGTTACCTCCAAGCAGCTCGGTGGCAGGGCTTTTGGGGGGTTGCTCCGATCTATTCCGTGCCTGAGCGCTTGGTTGAAGGCTGCACCTCACCTGCATCACCGAGAGTGACTCCCTCCATCTCCCTGTCATTGACCAAAATCCATTTTTCCATTGAAGCTTATGGCTGAGTGACCAGATACCCACAAAACAAGGTTGCGAAGTACCAGGTGATCCCCAGACACCCTAAATAGACAGTGGGGTCAACTACAGGCAGTCCAGAGGCCTGAGGGAGACCTGCGCAAGACAGGCAGGAACAGTGAGGCTTTGGACAGAGACAAAGAGGCCCAGATGACCCTGGGAGAGTGGAGTTAGGGTGGAGGGTGAGGCAGGGGCCTATCCATTGTGAGTAAGCAGGAGGGGTCCCTACGAGACCAGAAGGCTGGAGCCACCCAGAGGGAAGTGAGGCCCTTACAGGATGGGGACCCAAGAAGGGAAGGAGTGTGGGGCTCAGAGCAGGCACAGGGAAGTCCCAAGAGCAAATTTCCTCTCCCACACCGGGAGGAAATGACAGGACTGGTGTAGAAACCTGCTTTCCAGCAGGATCTTCTGGGTAGACCACTGAGGAGGGATCAGGTCCTGAGGGCTCTGGCACTGCCCCATGAGGACACAGCCAGGGCACCCTCTCCAGCCCCTGGCTGCTGGCATCTCAAGCCTGGACGTCCAGCCTCCAGGATGGTAAGAAACAAACCCGTGTGGTCTTCAAGCCACTTGAGTAAGGAAGCTTCCTATACACAGCAGCCCCAACAGATCAAGACACCAAGTAAAGTTGCAAAAACTCTCCTGCACTCTGCCTCCTTTTAGGTGTTTAGAAATAATAATCATAAGACTCTGTATTAGGCCCTGGGGCACAGTCCTGCCATCCCAGCACTTTAGAAGGCTGAGACAGGAGGATCACACAGTAAAGCCCAGCCTTAGCAATTTAGCAACTTAAGCAAGACCCTGTCTCAAAATTTTAAATTTTATTTTCTTTCATTTTTTTCATTACATAAACAAATTTTAAAAGGGCTATGAATGTAGCTCTGTGTGAAGACCCAGGGTACAAAAAGAAAGAAAGAAAAAAAGCACTATCAGAGAAATAAAGCATTGGCCCAGAAATGAAGCAAAGTTACCAGAAACTAAAAGAGAATGAACAGTAGAACATTTCTATAGACAATGAAAACATGCTGCAGACACACCCGAACACCAGAGAAACACCATGTTTTTCTTGTTTTGGTGTCATCAGGAAATGACCCTGACACACAAGCAAGCAGCATGCATTCCACACTGAGCCACCTACCCGCCCGCCTCCTTTGCCTTCAGAAGACACTGCGACATCCAGGGAATGGTCACCAGGTGGAGTGAGTGAGATTAGCACACAGAGAAAACAATGAGTCCAGGGTGGGCTTCAGACCTGGCAAAAGTTCACTTCTAGTACAAAGGGCCTGGATAACCTCAGCGTGCTAGAATCTGAAGACTTTAGTTCCAAAAAATACTAAATACATACAGACAATCCTCCTCTAGCAACCAAGTTCTGATCCTGCAGTTAGGTTGCTCAACGAGTTGGTTGCTAAATGAAGAGTTGTCTGTGATATGTACATTACAATATGCACAGCAAAGAGACTGTCAAAGGAAACTCTGACCTGATGACTTTGCTTTTATTTGCACAACTCTCACATGCATTGTTGCAATGTATAACAGAACATAAAACCGCGCTGCTGTGTGACACAATCAGCAAAAACTACAGTCCTGTATAAATAAGGTGCACGGTATTAAAAAAAAAAAAAAAAGACATTAGTGCCCTATAAACAAGATGTACCGAACTGTACAAAGAAAAAGATGCAACTTGTTAGGAGCCGTGGAAGCTGGAAACTGACCTAGGACATGACCCAGATGTGAGCCTACCAGACAACAAAGATCCCCTGGCAGCCAAGTGAAGAAGCTGCTGGAAAACACCAAGCTCCTAGACAAACCAAGCAATGGGTTGCTAGGTAGAGGGGCTGACATTGACATCATCTTTCCCAGAATATAAATAAAGACACTGCGGTGGGTGAGCAGTTCCTTTCCTACCATCAGGAAGATAAGGGCTCCACCTGACCCCCGATTTGTCTCTTCTTTTTCTCATGCTTCCACCATCCTTTGCTCCAAGAACCTCAGAAGCTGCATTGGGTCGTGGTAGGTCAAGTCCAAGTAGTCATTAAGCAGGTAAGAATATCTATAAATAAAACCTTTTTAGTAAGGTTGGGAAGAATTTATCTCTCACAGTCTCTTAACCTGTCCAAAGAGAAGCTTCAGACAATCATGACTAAGGAGGGAGGTGTCCGGTTACTTTTCTCTTGTTGTGAGACAAAAATACCTGACACGCAAAATGAAAGGAGGAAAGGTTTATTTAGCTCACAGTTTGTGGAGGTTTCAGTCCGTGCTTAGCTGGCTTCGAGGCATGGTGGCTTCACAGAGGAGAAACAGTTCATGGCTGGCAGAAGGTAGCAAAGCAACAAGAGGCCGACCACAGCTCTTTCTGTCCCTTTTACTGTTTCCCAGCTACTCAGAACGGGCAGCACTCGCACCCTTAACCCTAGAGCCCTTGATCCCAGCATTGCACCATGAATCCATTCCAGTGCCACACACTGTAGATCCAGTTACCTCTGAAAAAAGCCCACCTGTGACCTCATGAAGCTCTGGGGGGCGTCAAGACACAGCCGTGACAGGTGCTGGTGCAGAGACTCAGAGAGGGGACTGTGGTCAGCGTTGGCCCTCGCAGAAGGCCCTGGGCTCTGTCCCCAGCAGCGCAAAAAATACAAATAAATTCAAAGTTGAATGCCATAGTGAAGTTTCTTCTGACCTGCAGACCCTTCCTGGGGTGAGGACGGTGGGGGGGGGGGGGATGGCCTGTTGGGAGGCAGCGCATTCTGTGTGATTTCCAGTGGGTGAGAGCAAGGGACTGTGCGGTGCAAAGGCAGCGTACTCTGCAGGGATGTGGCCACCAAGTGTGACCGAGTCCCGCGGGAGGAAGCACATCAGTTACCATGGGTGCCCTGACCCCTCCTATGCCTGCATCCTGACGCCTGTGAAGCAGAGAAGACGCAGTGGGGCTGTTGCCCTCAGCCAGCTTACTAGACTGTCCCATGCCTGACTCCCCATTGGCACTGGGTGCCCTGAGATCAGCCGAGGCTCCCATGGAATGACTCAGGTCCTCGAGGGTCTCTGGGTTTCCTCCACCACCCTTACCCGGTCACAGAAGCCTCTCTCATACCATAATGTGGGGGCCAGGGCCCCAGCCACACCAGCCTGCAGACTGTAGGTAACTTGCCTGGTGGGGTCACCGGTGTCTTTAGAAATCTCAGTGATGGACTTCAGCCTCGGATGTCTTCCCAGCAGGCAGGAAGACCGTGGTGGGACGGCAGCTCCGTCGGGAAGACAGGAGTAAAGCACAGAGCCAGGCCCTGAGGCATCACATAGCTCTGGACGTGCAGAAGGAAACCAAAGAGCCCACTCTCCACTCTGCCCTGAAGAAGCTGACACCTCGCCCTCCTGCTCTGAGGAGGCCCTCAAGGCTGTGCCCTGCTCCCATCCCAAGGGCAGGAGGTGCAGCCTGGCACTAGCACCCAAAGAGCACCAGTCACAGCGCGGCCATCATACCTACACCCAGCATACCGTCACCCCAAGTCTGTCCTGTGGAGCAGAGCTTAGGAGGTGAGGTCACTGGGTCCCCAGTCACAAAACACTGTCCCCCTACCCCCCCATCCAGATGAGTAAGGCTCACAGGAGCCACGTCAAGGCTCAGACTGCCCGA